TTTCCTAAGAAGTACTAGTGAGAGAAAAGTAGAACTCAATAAAGTTCTAGAACAACAAGGCACATTAAACGAAGGACGGGAAGATGTGCCACATCAAGTGGTTGAACATCGTAAGGAGGTTACTCCACAATCTGTGGATCAAAGTGAACCACCTCAAGTAGCACAGGAGCTACGTAGGTCTGGAAGAGTGTGTCATGAGCCTGAGAGATAAGGTTTTCTCATGACTCAACATGGTGACGTACTGGTCTACCAAGACAATGAATCCAAAACCTACAAAGACGTTATATCGGGTCCAGATTCCATTAAATGGCTTGAAGCCGTGAAATTTTAGATGGACTCCAAATACCAAAACCAGGTATGGTCTCTAGTGGATCCACTTGAAGGGGTAAAACTCATAAGGTGTAAATGGGTCTTCAAGAAGAAGACTGACATGGATGGCAATGTGAATTCATATAAGGCATGACTATTGCCAAAGGTTTCAAACAAATTCATGGTATTGACTATGAAGAAACCTTTTCCCCGGTTGCCATGATTAAGTCGATCCAGATTATGCTTGCGATTGTTGCTTATCATAACTATGAGATTTGGCAAATGGATGTCAAAACAGCTTTCTTGAACGAAAACCTTGAAGAGGATGTATATATGACACAACCCAATGGTTTCATTCATGATGGACAAGCTAATAAGATATGCAAGTTGTAGAAGTCCATTTATGGACTCAAGCAAGCTTCAAGGAGCTAGAACATTCATTTTGATGAAGCCGTAAAAGAATTAAGTTTTATCAAGAACGAAGATAAGTCATGTGTTTACAAGAAAGTAAGTAGGAGCGTAGTAACATTCTTAGTATTGTATGTCAACGACATACTTTTGATCAAGAATTATATACTGAACTTGCAATCAGTAAAGACTTGGTTATCCAAGTGCTTCTCCATGAAGGACTAGGAGAAGCAGCCTACATCCTTGGAATAAAGATCTACCGAGATAGATCGCATAGGATGCTTGGCCTAAGTCAGAGTACATACATAGACAAAGTACTAAAGAGATTCAGTAAGGAAGAATCCGAGAAGGGATTTCTTCTTATGTCACATGGTGTCTATCTCTCCAAGGATATGTGTCCTAAAACACACAATGAGAGAGATAGAATTAAGAGGATCTAATATGCGTCAGCAATTGGATCTATCATGCATGCCATGTTGTGTACTCGGATTGATGTCTCATGTGCATTAAGCACTTGTAGTATATATCAATCGAATCCAGGTGAGCGTCACTAGATGGCTGTCAATAACATCTTTAAGTACCTAAAAAGAACTAAGGACATGTTCTTGGTTTATGGAGGGGAATATGAGCTCACTATAAGAGGATACAATGATGCTAGTTTCCAAATAGACAAGGATGATTATTGATCACAGTCGAGCTTTGTATTTTGTCTCAATGAGCTACAATGAGCTAGAAAAGCTCGAAGCAAAGTACTGTAGCGAATTATACAACTAACGCTAAGTATATCGCAGTATTTAATGCAGTCATGGAGGCAGTTTGGATTAAGAAGTTTATTACTAAAATTGATGTGGTTCCAAGTATTACCGATCTAATAAAGCTCTACTACAACAATAATGGAGCCATTGTTATGGCTAAAGAACCACGGTCTCATCCGTGATCCAAACACATATTTAGTTGATTCAATCTAATCAAAGAAATCAATCAGAAAGAGGATGTGTAAATATGCAAAATACCTACTAACCCACTGTTGAAGTTTCTATTGCAGTATAAGCATGATAAGCACTTAGTGTCATTTACTATTAAATACATGAATGATTAGCTATAGTGCAAGTGGGAGATTGTCAGAATAGGTACCCTAGGGTCAATCTAATTGTGTAAATTGACTCTTTGTAATCATGTTTTATTATCAATAAAAGGCATTTACCTATACCATATGATATGATCATATTCGTATAAGAAAATGGTATATGTCCTTAGAATGGTAGAATCATGACGAGGGTATCAAGTGTTTGAAATATCAATAGTGAGAACCTTATGAGCACATACGGTGGCCATTCTAGAAACGTCCATAGCCCCAATATTATCCTGACCTAGGGCACAGATAATACGGTAAGGCTATCATAGTGTTGGATGACCCTATCGAAAGGCAATGACAGATCTCACTTGTCAAGGTTGTTTAGTGACAACTTAGTGCAACACATGGGTATATGTTGTAGGCAAGTTCACCAAACCGACCCACTAGAGGATTCCACATAGATGGTTACCCCAGTGTTTGTGGAATAAATCCTCCAACGAATAGTGGTGCATGTGATCCTTAGACTTGAGATCACCAGAGCGCCTTATGTACCGATTGGTGTAGTTTGACACTAGTCCAACGTAGTTCTATTCAGATCTATCAACACAGTAGTGATTGGCTGCATCGATGAGTGTATCAAGACTATGATGGATCAACAAAGGATTCATCACTCCCCGGTGTGAGAGAAATTATCTCACTGAATAATTCGATAGATGGCAATCCAATCTATTCCGGTCGTTTGTCCAATAACTGAATACCGAGATATTAAGGATATCTGAGGTTGACACTACTTCTATGCCTCAGCCTTGATGAGATAATAGATGATGAAAGGATTGAATTTCACGGTAGCCATATCGTTGATAGGTGGCGGTTTCGCTGAATCCGAATTTATCGGGTGGCCATAATGCTTGGCTAGAGGCCAGTCTCAGTCTGTGTCTAGTGGAACGATTGATTGATTGTCAATCGCAATACGATTCACTGCCGATATGATGAGGAGCCTTTGGGTCGCACACATTGAAGACAGATTAAGAATAAAATTATGAGAAGGGTGTTTTCTTCATTTATGATGAAACGGCATTTTCGTCTATTAAGATGAAAGGGCATCTTGGTAATCTGATAATGTAATTAAATTTACTGAAGTTGTTGCCTAAATTTAATTTCATATGGAAATTAAATTAGTGAGATTATATATATTTAAATATTTAGTTTATATATATATTTAAATATAAAGGATATTATCCAATATTAATATTTATTATTAATATTGATAATGTGAATTCAAATTTGGTTTTTAAATTTGAATTGAAAATGCCATGTTTGGTTGCAAGGCTAATCTATTCCAATATCCAATTGGAATAGATGGCTATTCCAATTTGGAATAGGGTTTTAGTGTGCACTATTTAAGTGCAACTAAAATTAAAATGAAATAATTTCATTCAATCAAAATAAACCCTAGCCGCACTCTCTCTCCCTCTCCCAAAAAGGGGAACCCTTTTGAGAGAGAAAGAATTTTTCTTGGGAAGAAAAATTCTACAGAAAATTATTCTTGAAGTTGAGAGTTTTTCCCAGCTTAAAAATCCCTCAATGACAACCGTCTTGTCTTCATGTGGATATTGCGAGTGCACTTCTACTTTGGAGTGGTAGCAATTCCAACCTCAAATCGAAGGAGCCTCCAATGCTGGTATGAAATTTTATATCCTTTGATTTGGTTAATTTAAAATAATGTAAATCCGGCATAAAGATCTTGGTTAAGATTTGTAGATCTAATTAAAAAAATAATAATAATTTCCGCTGCATTTTATAGATCCATTAACCTACACGAATTGTCCCCACTACCTTGAATAGTTTCTTCTATGGGCTTCACCTGATTTCCATGGAGGTTTTTATTAGACTCTGCTGGAGAATTCTTATCAAGCTTGGGTAGAAAAGTGTCATTTTGAAACTTTTTCAAGTGGAAAAGTGTCATTAGGCCAAACCTTGGGTGGGAAAATGTCATTTACTCTATTTTTATTTATTGAATTATAGTTATCCTATAAATTATATTAAATGACGCTATTTAGAGTCTTTGATTGAGAAGTAGTACTTTTTGGAAAATCTCATAAGAAACAGCACAATCCTAATTCATACAATATTTTCGACTAAAATTGCCCTCATATATAAATAAAGCTTATAGTATTCACCCATCTTCTTCAACCCTAACCTACCCCTCTCTCCATTGCCAAAATTCAAACTTTCAACCCTAAACTTATACCCACCTCCTATTTGTGCCAAGATCGAGTGGAATTTGAGTGGAAGCACTGGTTTTAAAATTTAGGGTTTTTGGTGGGAATTTAGGGTTAAGAATCGGAGATATGTTGAAGTATTGTTGAGTTGTTGAGAAGGGTGTGAAAATGGCCATGTGATAGGTTGTATGGTTGTGAATCGTTTCTGAAATTTGCATTTTTTTGGCCTAATCAAGTGGGTTTCAGTTGGATTCGACCAAAAAACATAGGTTTTACTATAGAAGATTAAGTCAATTTTTGGCCGAATACCTTGGATTCGAGCTGATTCGATTAGATTCAGCCAAGACAAGTTATGTCCAAACAGCCAAATTGGCTCAATGGCATGGTTTCAGCCATATTTGGCCACCTTAGTATCAAAAAGCAGAATTGGCCGAATCCGACTGACATGTGGGTTTTGGCCAAAACTCGTCTTCATCCTTTAAACAATTTTTCATTTGAATCCTTCAAAATTGGCCAAAAGCCATACCCATATTTGACTAAACCATCCATTTTCAACATATCCAATAGAATATAAGCTTAATCAACTATAACAACAACAAATCATTTCAAAAATAACTTATTTAACATTTTTCCTAGACATATATGCAACACACTCAAAATTTAGATTTCAAACAACTTTGAAATAACAAAACTTTCATTTCAAAAACAATATATCAAGAAATCTATTAAAAAATTTCTCCTCAAGATCACAATTCAAGTCTTCACTTGGGATTTTAGAGTTGAAGCACGGGTTTTCAATTAATGGTTAAGGATTTGTCATTAGGGGCAATTTTGTCCGTCAATTTTGTGCTACATGGAAATGTGCTATGTCTTGAGACACTTTCCAAAAAGTGCAACCAAGTGATTAAAAAATTAGAGTCAGATAAAATAAAAATTATCCAACAACAACCAAGTGATTACAAAATAAATTTAACTTCTTTACTTCCAAGAATTTGAGATTCATAATGTATATAAGCCATGCCATCAGCACACAATTATTTAAAATAATAAACCAAAGGCAAAAACTTACCTTTATTCTTAGTCGTTCAGCTACCTCAGATTGTTCATCATACTCATCAATTACCTGCAGCAGACAGCATATAATCCAAATTGGATGTATAGTAAATTTTTCTAAATAGCAAAACAACAACGAATTCATCCAAAAAAAAAAAAAAAGAAGATGAGGTGAAACCCAAATTCTTTTAGTTATTTGCAAGAGAACTCCAAGCTTAGCTGATTACCAACCGACAAGGGCAGGGCAAGACTCGCTCTGGAGGATTCCTCAATAGGGATCTATTCTCTATAAACCATAAACCAACACTTTCAGGTCAAAATCCTCAAACATAACAGGTTAATAATAATGAAATTGACATACACAGTTCAAATAAGAACATTTCTGATCATTCATCCAGCCTTACCTTCAGGGATTTGGAAGAATGTTCCACCAATTACTAAGAGTGCTTCACTAATTTACCTCTCAAAGGTTTGGGGCTTTGATTTAAGGTTCAGTAGGTTATGGTTATTGGAGATTTTACACTAAAGATTGGATGAAGCCAACAATTTTCACTAGATTTTTCCAAATGAAAATGATTAAGTGAAGCGATTAGGGTATTTTGTTTGAGAGAGTAGGCTGGAAGAGTTGAAAACGAGTGAATAAGGGTAGGAAATTTTGGGAAATTTTGGAAATTTTGGGTTGGCGGGTATTAGGTGTTACTTTCCGGGTTAATAATTGGGTATATGTAAAAACTTTATTTGGTCCCTACATGAATGAAAAGTGACAAAGTAAACCCAAAATAATATACCATTTGACCCCTAAACAATAAAAATGAGACAAAATCAACCTCATTTCATGTTGGTGGGAATACTATTTTCTTTCCTAGTAAATAATTGGGTTTATGATAACACTTTTTAAATGTTATTGTTTTTTTATTATATGATAACATTATAAAAAATCTATTATATTATTAAGTCTATTGTAACACTTTAAAAATGATACTGTAGATATATATTAATAACATTTAAAAATAATAATTACCATTGATATAAAATGTGTTATAAAAAGTTAAATTGTTATATATAAAAATTGTTATCATAACATTTTAATATCAAGTGTTACCATAGATAGTTTACAGTAATATTTTAAGGAAAAGTGTTATTATCCAATGTTATCGTAGATCATTTTTGTTATAGTGGTGCTAGTTCTCAACTCCCTTCCCCTAATTGTGTCATTTAATATAATTTCTCTAATTATTATATAAAATTTAAGGTTTTTTTTATATTAAACCTCATATGTTTGACCTTTATTAGTGAGCACTTACTGGTTTTGAAAATGCGACCCTGACCACTATTTATTTTCATACTGTTAGGTTATTCTAATGGAGTTTATAAGTCAATGATGTTTTTACTATTAATCCAAATTCAATTAATCTATCAACAATGTTAAGAAGTTAATATATTTTTTAAAGGTTAAATTGATGAAATTATTGATAAATTTGAAGGTAAAATTGATAAAATTTCTAAAACCAAGAGGTGTTCACATAAAAACGGTCAAACACATAGGTTCATTATAAATTATTAAAAAAAAAACTATAAATTTTATCTTATTATTATTATGACTATTATTAACAAATTATATTAAGAGTGCCTTTTGAATTGTTGTAGCTTAAGACTTAATTCTTAAGTGACAAAAACAAATGTGTTTGGTAAACAATTTTTAAAACTAAGTTTGAAGTTGATTATAAAATAATAAGCTTTATAAAATGATTCTAAAAGCTAGTAGGGGTAGCTTTTAAAAATCAAATTACCAAAGCTTTTTTTTTTTATTAATTGACAAACATACCCATACATAAGTCGTCAAATTATAAATAAATAAAACTTAAATAGACATTTGATTCACTAAATAAATAATTTCATAATTTATATATAAAAAAAAAAATGGAATCGTAGTGGTTGCTGGTACTATGATGTTGGTCAACCGTTGACCGCCAGTCAATGTGAAAAATCGTGGCGCTTTGGCACCACCATTGGTCCCATTAGAACCAAGAGAAGCCGATTTACAGTAATTTGGTAGTTCCATCGGATTGGAAGATGCCATTTGGCTGCAAAATGCGGTTGAAGCTTTTGCCTTCTTTTTCAGCTAAATGATATGTTGAAATCCAGTTTAACCACCGGATCCCGACTACTAGGCATCTTCTGGTATCAGAACTGATAGTGGCGCCAATGCACCACTTGTTGTCGACGTTGACCATTGGGCAATAGTGGTTGACCGACACCCAAATCAAACTTTTTTGAATGTTCTTCAAATTATTAATTAATTAAATAAAATTATTATAATACATTTTTTAAATATTTATTAAATGCATATCAAATACAAAATAGAATTATAAGAATATTACGATATAAATTGTCTATTTTGGTCATTATATATACCACAACAATTTCAAAATCTATTTCACCATACCTAACATTATAGACATTGAAAATTAAAACAATTTCAAAATTATGTTTTTTCAAACACATATCCAAATTATTTTTAAAATTGATTATTTCCAAGTTAAGCCAAAACTGATTAAATTAAAGTTACAACAATCTCAAACTTGCCCAAAGGTAAGATTTTTTAACTTTTAACATTAAAATTTATTTTATTCAGAATTTTTAGAATTAAGTTTGATCAAATAACTAGTTAAAAGACCCGCGTGTTTCGTAGGTTGTTTAGAAATTAATTTTTACATTACGTTTTAGAATAATTGAATGTTGGTTCAATTTTAAATCTTTATGTTATAAAGGCGCTTCTTATATAATTTTAAATGGACTTAAAGTCTAATTCTTCATTCTCTTATCACCAATATGAGAATAATCATTCCTTGTTATTTCTCCTTAGCCTCTAGGCTGTTATGATTTTACTTTCTCATATGTTCATAGCTATGTGAGTTTGGTGGTTCTTTCTCATGGCTCTGTTTCTTGATTAATGCTAAGCATGTGCTGCTACATTGTGGAAACCATCCCAAGCAGCTCCAAAGATATACGAATATTTTGTTAACAAAAATAAATAAAATTTGGTAGTAGTTGGAATCAATCATTTAATTGTACACCATATATATAATCAGCATATCACTTGACATTTATAAGTAGCTGAAAAGCTAAGAATCACAGCTGAAGAACATTACAGGCTTAAAATTATTGATGGTATTATTCCTGTAAGCATTTTGATCCTTTATTTTTTTTTTTTTTTTTTTTTTTCCTTGTAATTGATGCACTCAACTCGTGTCATGAGATTCATTTTATTGTTATAGTGTTGTACTCTTATTTACAAGGGCCCCTTGGTGGTGCACACTCAGATCCTGCGTGGGCTTCGTAACAAATTAAACTCACAATCATCGAGGCTATGGAGGTCAATGATACTTAAATTTCTATATGTTCCGAGTGGAAAAAGATTTGAGAACAGCAGCTATAAACAGGTTGTAAAACTTATCTATAAAACTTAGGCATGTTAATATCTTTTTTTCTGGTAAGAACGAATGTTAATGCTAATATGATGGCTTCCTTTTGACAAACACGTTGTTGACTAAATATCTTTCAATAAGAGTCGCTTTTTGCAATTCTAAAACTCGTGAAATCTTCTATACTTCTCAAATGTTTTTCATCTTTGATGCCTTAGTGGGAAATTTAGTTGAATACAAAACTTTGTCGTGCTATCCTTGTATAGCATTACTTTTTTCACCATTAGATGATATCCCACGTGAGGAGGCCTCTAGAGAATGTCCTTCGTTCTGTTGACATTTTGTGTACTGTTTTTTTATCCCAGTGATGGAGAAAGCTTTCTTTTCAATATTTTATTAAGAGAAGAAGAAACACATGTACCATATAAATTTGAGAAATACTAATGATTGTATCCTTTTCTTTTTTTTTTTTTTTTTTTTTTTTTTTTTTTTTCTCTCTTGCACCTTCCTTTTATACATTTTACATTTGATACAACCCTCGGTAATCTCTATGAGCTTACAAACATTGTTTTAAAAACCGGACCGGCGAGCAACCCGCTCTGATGGCCGGATCACAGTTAAACTGGTTGGACCGTCGGTTGGACCGATGATGTCATCACACATCCTGATAACATCAACATATTTTTAAAATAACTTCTTTTTTTTTAGATTTCTATTTTTTAATAAGACAATAACAACTTAATTACTGTCCAATCCAACATGATTCCAAGTTCAAATTCAACAACAATCCTAACATAATTTAAGTATTTATCTACCTATCTACCTATCAAATACGAAACAAGCGACATAATAGATTTACTAAGCAAATATCGAATACGAAACTATATAGACAGAATAAAATGCATAAATCATAAAAAACACAGAACACCTGTTGTCAATCAAAGCAGTTAAGTATCCACAGGCAAAATTTGTACTTGTTAGTGTAAATAAGTATCAATGAAGCGACATTCAGTGTAAATAAAAATGCCAAAACAAATAATCAAGCTTAAAAGATTTTAAAATAGAACTTGTTAGTGTAAATATTTAGACTTCAACTCCACTCGATTTTCTTGTATAGTGAGAGTTCTGCACTCAAAAGAAGACTTGCTGTTTGATTTAAAGGATTTGATGTGTTGACAAATTATAACAAATACACGGGAAATGTGTTGGCTACTATATTATAAACTCCACTGTATGCTAACAAAATGTACAGTCCATATATGAAACAATGAAAAATCACTGCTTTTATATTTAGGTTATGTAACAAAATGGTTGACACAAAAGTTTCAACACTTTTGTCCAGCAAGAAATTTCCAACTATTGGTATTATACTTGTAGTTTGCAAGATCTAAAATAGAAGCACATCAATATAGTTATACTGAAATAGGCTTGACAAAAGTAATATGGACATGAAAGGAGAAGCAATAAACACTATCCAGCTGTATTGTCACATGTGATATTGATCAACACAAATCTTCTGCAAATATTTTTCTATTTTTCCTCAAACTTTTTAATTTATTAGTAGTGAAACCACTCTTAAGTTTAATGTCAGAATAAGTAACTCAACATATAATTATTTCCCCTGAAATAAGTATAATCCAGAAATGACATTTCAATATGCAATATAAATCTTGCTAGAGTTCAAACAATTGATTGGCCATCAAAAACTTGATATGCATGCGGCAATCTATTATTATTACTACTATGTTTTGATACAATTCAGATCAAGATAAAGCTAAGTTGATGACATAACCTAAGGGTGAAAATGACAAACAAGAATCTAAATTAATAATATAGAATACTAAAACTTGTTAACGGACTAAAATTGTGGGACAGATGGAATAATAGTTATTGGTCATAAAAACATGTTCATATATAATTTCCAATAACCAAGTCTAAACTTCAGTCATACATGCATGATACAACCATCCACTATCTGTATACCAACATCATTATCTAACAATATTTCAAATTGGAAATTCACAATTAAAAAGTACAGATAATGGATCAATGATAAGTTTGTCCTGAACAAATAATGACCAAATACCCATTCTAGAGACTTTACCTTCTTTAGGATGCCAGTTTTTTCACCTCCTTCAGGAAGAGTAAGATCTAGATGGGATTAATTTCCAATAACCAAGTCTAAACGTCAATGAATGGAGTTGTTGCCGTCGATTTCTAGTGAGGGACGAAGCTGTCATCGTCGATTTCCCGCGAGGGAGGAAGACGTCGTCGATTTCCAGCGAGCGAGGACGATTTCAGAGAGTTCAGATGTGATTTGGGTGGGATTTTAGAGAGAAATCTTCGCAGAGAACAGACAACTGCACTCGAAGCTAAAAAATTTTTGCAGAGAAGAGAGAAGAAGCTGAGAAATTTGCGAAAGAAACTGAGAGAGATGAAGTGAACGCAATGAGAAGAAGGCTGCGGGCATTAGGTTTAGGGATTTTTAATTGGACCAGTTTATCAGTCGGTCCGGTTGGACCGGCGGTTCGCTGAAAAGATCCGGTTTTTTAACGGTTTAATACGGTCCATTGCTTATAAACGGTTTTAAGATTAACCCGAACCGGACACTTAACCGGTTCCCGATCCAACGGTCGGTCCAACCGGTCCGGTCCGGCTTTTAAAACAATGCTTACAAACATATATATCACAACAATATGAAAGTAAACCGTAAGTATATCTTACTTACGTTAAAACTTCACATAAAGAATCTCTCTTTATAAATGGAAAGATGATTCTCCACCTTTACTCTCTTATTACTCTCATTCGCTTCCTTCCCCCAATCGAAAATCTTTTGGTCATCTCAATTTCGTCGATGCAAATGCTGTTGCCAAATCCATGACCTTGCTCACTTGTGCTGCGCCTGTTCCTTGAAAACCCAAGAACAAAAGAGTCGGTAGATAGTAAACGTTATCGAGCACGCTATAACAACTTGGCAAGTGGATTCAAACACTATTCCTCTTGGATAAAAAAATTATTCCAAAATGCAGTTTAAAGATAGCACGGCCACTTTCTCTAACCTCATATTTTATAGATTGTTAACTGACAAATTACCAGCAGAATTTTAACTCCTAATTTTTCCATTTACTGGAAAAGAAATCAATGTACCTTCACAGTGCAAATGAAAAATAGACTTTCATTAGTGTTGGGGCCTACATTTGCAATGCTAACTACTCCTGGTCCAGTATGTGCCACTGCAATACATTATACACTTCAGAGTGAAAACGTGCAGATTAAATAGATATAGAAGAAAAGAAATGACCATATCAGGTGACCTAAAGTTTGGCCCTTTGATGGTTTTTCCTTTTCCATTTGTTGATTTCCTTGTCATCTGCCACTTATAGCCATGCTGAAATGAACTTAGGAATTGACAAAACTGGATACAGAAGCCTTGCTGCCACACCGGATGCTCAAATTCCGGTCAATTGAGGGTTTCCAAGAAGGCATTCCAGTGGATCCAGAGAGGAAATGCAACATGAAGCCTTCTGAAGTCAATATAGTCAATATGCTAAAGGCTTCTGAAATAGAGTCAAACCTTGAGAACTTAAAGAAAAAGATTAGGAAAAGATAACACACACACACACACACACACACACACACACACATATATATATATAAGAAATGAACAAAGTAACATGTTCATAAATCTGGCAAGAGCAACCCCTAAGGAAGAACTGCAAAAGCAGAAATGAGAAAAAGGGGGAAGGTTCCTTTTTTACTGAAATTCTGATGCAACTCATGCCACCTCCCACTCTCCACTTGTCAAATGTAATCAGAATACCTCAGTTGAAGAAAAAAAACTGACTCTTGCTCCAATCTAAATTAATTACCATACATCAATTAAACTCTAACACAACCTCACAGAACTTGGTGTATATATATATAATATATATATATATATATGACACAATTCAGTAAATATACATGTCCACATGCTTATAAACAACTAAGAATTGTAAGAAAAAAAAAAAAGTTAACTTCGTCCACAACTGTGGTCACAAATAGGGTCTTTATGTCGGGATTAGACCTTGATTTTTCATAGCTGATGCTGCCAATTTAACTGCAATACTTATACGCATATAATCAGAAATAGCAAAAGAAAACTAACAGTATTTATAACAGTTACAAACCAAAACAAATGAATAAGCCATGAAAGACAAACAAATAATTCACCATTTAAGATGCAAGTACCCATTATGCAATTCGATGAAACACATTCGTAACCCAATCAATGTGCTTTAAGTGCAGAAGAGAAGCAAATAAAACAACACAAACAACATTTACAATTCAAGTCTCAGCTTCAAATACAGCAACAAAATCAGAAGCTACAACTCTAGAAATAATCAAATATGAGAATCTTGTAACACCAAATGACCCAAACCTCAATACGCATGTCCCATTACACAATCACATTCAAACACAGAACGCAAATCAAATAAAAGTACATCAACGAGAGAATGATAAAAAATAAACTGACCTGTATAGCAATAACGTCATGATCAAAATTAGAAAAAAACTTAGAGAACTGAGGTTCGCATTTCATCAAACACTCATAATCACCCAACTCTTTTGTTTCTTTGGTTTAATTTTGTGAGAAGAGAATGGGTGTTAAAGGATGTTGAAGGCGGCGTCACTTCCATTGTTGCCACTCAACCTCTCAAACTCGTGCAATAAATAATCAATATATTTGACTAAGGGAAGTTGGAACAAAATTGACTATTTAAAAATGTTTATAAAGCAACAGAAACTAACATGACAAAAAGAAGAATAAAACCTTCTAAACAGCTATTCAGTTGACGATTCCTTCGCCCCTGTACCACCCTGATCCCAAAGCAACTCTGAGATCTATCTGCAAAAATTGACATCAAATGAGATCCATTAATCACCAGTCACAGCAATTAAAATACACAAAACCCAATAAAAAAATTGAGGAGTGAGAGAATACCAATTATTGTCAGCCCTGCCGCTGCATGAATGAGTAAATTATCACCGGTCCAGCAAATCAGAACCCCTGCTTCAGTAAATCCTTGCTGATAGCTTCAGCTTTTGGAGTCCTTAAGGAACATTTCTTGGGTATCTGTATTTATTATAACTGGTTTGTAATTTACATAACCCCACATAAAGCTACGAACGACCCGAATTCATTCACAATCTGCATTTGGACAATGAGGTTAAGTGAGCAACTATTGAGCACTGCAATTCAAAGATTGCAGAAAAAGCAAATATTATACTAGCAATTGAATATTCAAACTTACTTCATTATGCATTTGGCATTGTCTAATAGCACCTCACTCTGCTCTCTGCCAACATTATCGCTCTGTCTGATGATGTCTCTAAGATCTCTTTCTCCCCATTGGCAACAACCTTAGGATCGAACCTGCGAAAGCTTCTCTATGCTATCAACCAAATGTTTAGATTTATGTGAAGGTATCTTAAAATATGTAAATTTAGTTACATTTGAGTAGTGCAAAAGAAGTACTACCTGAAAATTCTTTTCTTTTCAAGATTTCAGTCTAGTTTTCTAACAACATACCACACGATGCGAAGTAGCTCGAACAGTTGACTTTTGAAGATAACTTACCATTTAAGAGTTGACACTTATTTTTCATAATTATATTTTCACTGGATTAAATATTACAACTGACTATAGTCATCATAAACTGGAACTCCCTAGGATTCATCATGAAATGCAACATAAACTTTATCTGTACAAAAAATTATGTCAATCTCAACAGTTTTTTATAAAATAAAAAAATATATCTTTGTTAGTATATATTAATGTCTCAATTAAGAAGCAATGTACATCTGAAAATGTGTAAAGTAGGTGAAGACGTTGATGTGTAATCTGGTTAATTAATGAAAGTTTCAAGAATATCCAGATTCAGACTATACACACAGTTTAACATGCAGTATAGTTGTAATAGGAAGGCTTTATTGTAATTTTTTTATCAACATAGTAATAATATACATTTTTCATTATCAACTACCATAATAACCATGATTGAGACAGAGTAGGGAAACCAACATGCGAAAAAGAGCATAAAACCTTCTAAACAGCTATTCAGTTGATGTTCCTTTGCCACTGTACACACCCTGGTCCCCAGCAACTCTGAGATATATCTTGCAAAAATTGACATCAAATGAGATCCATTAATCACCAATACAGCATTAAAAATACACAATAACTCAATAAACAATTAAATAGAGTGAGAGATACCTAGAGGCTGGATTCCGCTCAGCCTCATCATGCACCTCATAAGTGGATTTCCTAGAGTCTCAGGCCTTTCATCAGCCCCACGCCATTCTAATTCAAAACCCGAAACGGAAATTAAAAAAATAAATAAATAATCTGAACTTGCTAATTAAACATTAAAATTAAATAGAGTGTTGTTCTCTCTCAGCTAGAATGGCCTGTATGACAAATTTTACAAAAAGTAGTGTCCAAGTTTAGCAGACACCCAAAAAAAATAGGTAGCAGAACACATTGGATCTCTAAAAATCCTTATAGGTTCTTACAAAAGAAATGAACCGCAAAAACATTTCATTCTCCTTATATTAATCAGTATTTACATTACAACCAACACACCACACAAGCAGATTAACAAACATATCATGTAGGCCCATTCATCAACCCTAATTCATAAATCCATACAACATAATAAAATAATTGTGGTAAATCCATATTGATTGAAGCCAAACTACGTTCTGTGCCAGGAATGGTGTTGGTGTATACTCAAATCCCTCAAATATACAAAACATATCATGTGCCGAATTTGTCGGTAGTGGTGCGGACGGCAGCTTCCAGATCGAATGCAGAGGAATCAGATTTGAGAAGAGGCGTAAGAGTTCCAATCAGCCAGCAGGACGAAGGTTTTGTCGGTGGCGTTTGAGGTTGCGGTGCTCGGACCTCTGAGAACCATGCTTGTGCCAGCTTCTGCATTTCTAGCAAGCGTTGTGATTGTGAGATTGAGGTCACAGATGGATGATGTGATTGCTCTTCGTCGTCGTCATCTTCGTCAGAGACCTGAGCGAATTTTTTTTTTATTTTTTTTATTTTTATTTTGTTCAGTCCTCTCTGATTTGGTTCAGATGTGGAGAAGCAAAGGTCAAAAAACGATGTATGTTTATGTTTATCTTATGCAGAAAATTTAGTTGCCCGACTATCTAAGTTTCGATTTAAGAAATGTTCTTAAAAATGTTTTTCATATTTTTTTAATTTAGAGAAGATGATGTGGTATAGTTATAATAATTAAACACGTAAAATTGATTAAAATAAATATTAAAATATATGTGGGTTGAATTATAAATAATGAGTTTTTAAAATTTAAAATTTCTCAAAACAAGCCCCACTTATTCACCTGCTTATCGAAATTCATTAAGACAAAAACGATTTCTTGAACAATGGGAGACTGCGATTTTTTTGCTCGAACCTGCAAATTGCACTCTAAAATCAATTTCTTGAACCATAAACCGAATACAGTTGCGATTTTCGGTGATATAGTCACGATTTCCGATCGATTTCTTGAACCCTAAAATCGATTTCCTTAACCCTAAACGGAATCTGTGCGATTTCTGGTGATACAGTCCACATTTCCAATCGAAACTGCAAACTTTGACACCAAATTCAATCCAAAACATGGCTGACACTCACAATGAGGAGGAAAACCCAACGCCACTTCGAATCCTAGATTCCGGTGGCGCAAGCAGTTCAATGGCTACTCCGATGGATCATCCGATCAGTGAAGGTGGTCCACACGCAGAGGAGACACTGGCGGCACAAGAACGGAGGGAAGAATCAGCAAATGGTTCTGAAGACGAGAAGTCAGGCAAGAATTCAAGGCAGGAGGAGTTGTCCGAGGATTCAGGCGACAAGGAGGAGGCCGAAGAAGAAAGGGTAAGTTGTTTTGGGAATATTGCTTATACTGTCGCTTAAGCGATCATTTGTATCGCTTAAGCGATTAATATGTTTTACTTTTGATCGCTTAAGCGATTGATTCAGTTTACTCTTGGTCGCTTGAGCGATTTCAGATCGCTTAAGCGATCTTGTCGAGGCAAACGCAAGAGATTTCCGACGCACTTGTTTCGGTCAGTTTTTAAGAATCGGAACAAATTGGAAAAAATGCATTTTGGGGGTAAGGAGTGCATTACATGTTGCTGCACTCAGTAAAATGCAATAAAAAAAAAAATGTGGTTCGTGGTGGACGGAAAGCCACTACGGTTTGGGATGATGGAGTATGCCTTGGTGACGGGCTTAGGATACGGGGAAGTGCCAGATAAGGCAGAGGTAGACACAATAAGGACGAGTCCGAGAAGGGGCAAAGTCTATTACAAGACATGTTTTAGAGGAGATGCTAGAAACAGTTCGGTTTAATGATGGAGGAAGATAAAAGTGTGCTTGCTATTGTTTTTACATTCTATCTTATTGGCTGGTGACTCAACAAAAGTTGTTGAGAATGATTGGTTGTTGTTTGCAAGCGACTTGGAGTTCTTTAATTCTTATCCGTGGGGACGGATATCATTTGAGCGAACCATCAACAGCCTGAAAAAACCAGACATGGCGTTAAAGCAGGCCCAATGGATCGGGAAGGATAAACTAAGCACGTATAATTTGTTTGGCTTCCCATGGGCAATGCAAGTAAATATTAATAAGTTTCTGTTATATTTTTTTATAATATATGTGTTTGAATCATGATATGGACTGTTTTTTTACAATGTAGGCTTGGATGTATGAGGTCATCCCTGTCTTCGCTCAGATTGGGGGGAGGAGCAACAGTTTGGATGTGCAACAACAATTTCCTAGGATGTTGTGGTGGCATGTCGAGAGGTATACTCATTGGGACTACGACCAAATAGACATTAAGATTGAAGCAGTTAGGGTAAGATTAAAGGATTAAGCTTTTGAATATGCAGTTGCTTTAAAATGTCGCTTCAATCTGATTGATTTTGTTTCTTATTGCAGGGAGTCGTCCGTCCCTTTCTCACCGCTACTGGGGATGAAGCGGAAGAGGACTATGTCACATCTTTCAAAGCACTGGAGGATGAAAGGGATGAACGGA